TTCACACTACTTTCCATAATGGTTGCACCAATTTGCATTCCCAACAGTCCCTTTGTATACATTGTGTACCTTTTCCCGTACATTCTTGCCAGCATTTATTGTTGGATCTGTTCTTGGTAATTGCCATTCTGACTGAAGTAAGATAAAATCTTAGAATAGTTTTGATTTTCATTTCTCTAATTGCTAGAGATGTTGAACACTTTTTCATATATTTGTTGATCAACTGTGTTGTTCTTCTGTGAATTGTCTGTTCAGTTGCTTAGCCCATTTATTGATTAGGTTGTTTTTTTGGTGTTAATTTTTTTTAGTTCTTTATATATCCTAGAGATTAATGCTTTATCAGAGATGCATGTGATAAAGATTGTCTCCCAGTCTATAGGCTCTTCCTCACATTGATTGTTTCCCTTGCTGAGAAGAAGCCTTTTAATTTGAATCTATCCCATTTATTGATTCTTAATTTTACTTCTTGCACTTTAGGAGTCTTATTAAGGAACTCAGTTTGTAAGCCAACTTGGTGAAGATTTGGGCCTATTTTTTCTTCTGTTAGGTGCAGGGTCTCTGTTCTAGTGCCTAAGTCTTTGATCCGCTTTGATTTTGAGCTTTGTGCAGGGTGAGAGATAGGGGTTTAATTTAATCAAATGTAAATTCTTAATGCTTTTTCATATTTTTTGAAGCCTAGTGGTTTAATTAAAACTTCTGAATCTAGAAAAATCTTTGAAAAAATTAATAAGTGCATTTATAAAGTTCAAGCATGGAGGCTGGGGATATAGCGCAGTTGGTAGAGTGCTTGCCTTGCATGCACAAGGCCCTGGATTTGATCCCCAGCCCCACAGGGGGAAAAAAAAAAAGTTCAAGCATGGGTATTCTGACCACAACCAAAATGACTGTTTAGAGTTTTACATGTGTATATGTAAATGTATATACACATAAATGTGCTTTTTAAACTAGATCTACCCCCTTGAGTGTAGATTTTCTGTGATTCTCCATCGATATTTTATTTACTCATTGATGAATAAGCTGATTAGAGTATAGAAATATTAGAAATATAGCTCCCTGAATTTTCCTTCTGACTCATTTAGCTTGGTAGAAAGTTTCTAATAGGGCATTAAAGGGCTTCTTGGAAAAATGCAAAATAAAAAAAGATAAATGCTTCTAAGTTTAATATCTATCTGTACCTGTCTGAAGGCATTTGCTAGTATATTTCAGTTTGAAAACTGACTATAATTTTTTTTTTTTTGGTGAGTATGGTACAGTTACCTTTTTATTTGTGCCAGACTTTTTAAAACACACTTTTTTTTAGTTGTCAGTGGATCTTTATTTTATTTATATGTGATGCTGAGGATCGAACTGACTGCTCTCACATGTTAGGCAGGTTGTCTATCACTATGCTACAACTCGAGCCCTGTGCCAGACTTTTAATAAGATAAAGTACAGTGTAATAAGAAAGCAAACAATCACAATCCAACAGAATTAAAAGTATTCTGTTCACTTTTTTTCTTTTATTGGTGAAAAAATTGGGACTTCAGTTTTGTCAAGGAAACTATTTTCAAGACAACCTGAGATTGACTTACAAAAAAAAACCTCTGACTTACAAAAAAAAAATGTGTTGTTTATGGTCAGCAAATGGCTAACATTTATTTTTTGTTGTAGTATTCACTTTTTCAGGAAGTGACTTCTGTCTGCAGCAAGCAGAGTGCTGACCTTTAATGTGCTTGCCAGTCACTTCTTTTAGAAAGGTACCAGTCTAATACTACAAATGCTGTGAATTTGGTTGAAAATATATGCTAGCCTGATTGTTTTCTTTCTGGAGTTTCAAGTTTTCTGAGACAGAAAATTTGTGTTTTCCTAAAACTGACATTGAGTTGGCTATATCTGAGTTGGCTAGTGTGTGGGTAGAGAATCTGGTTTGAGTCAAATAGGTAAAATTGGTCTCTGGATGCTGCACCTGGGAACTTGGTAAAATGAAAATTCTTTGACCTAGCCCTAAAAGAATCAGCCTTAATGATTTCAGAATTCTGAGTATAGGGCTATCAAACTGTTCAGGTAATTCTGATGTCTGCTAATATTGAGTACTCATGTATTAAACTTTAGCTTTATCAGTTGTAAAAAGAAAGCATGGGGTTTTAAAGTTACATGTGTGTTGCTAATAATGTTGATGAAATCTGGATAAAGTAAGAGCATTGTAGCTGGAAGATCTTTGAACCCTGCTGTGTGACTTCTTTACCATAATGTATTGGGCATCTCTGAGCCTTGGTTTCTACATTTATAAAGTATTAGGAATTGTAGAAATCATGAATCAATGTTGTTGTATTGGGCGTTCAGTAAACATTAATTTGAAAGCTCCACAAAACTAAACTTAAAATCAAAAATAGATATCCACTTGGGAGAATTATAATTTTCAGTGGGGAAGAAAAAAAATCAAGTCGTATACAAGCTTTTTCATAATTGCTGCTGTAATTTTTTTTTTTTTTTAATTTGGTATTAGGGATTGAACTCAGAGGCACTTTACCACTTAGACATATCCCCAGCCCTTTTTATTTTTTTATTTTGAGACAGTCTCACTAAGTTGCTTCCAGCCTTGCTAAGTTGCTGAGGCTGGCCTGAAACTTGTGATCCTGCTGCCTTGAGTTACTGGAATTACAAGCGTTTGCCACTGCAACTGGCTCTGCTGCTGGATTCTTTCTAGAGGTTCTAAGCTATTTTGAGTAATTCATATCCTTAACTATAGTCATGGAAACTTTAAAAAAAAAAAAATCTGTTCTTTTTCTCCCTTTTTTATTTTTTTAAAGCCCTGGAAACTTTTCATATTCTACAAGTGTTGAAAGTGTCTTGAATCCTTTAAAATCTTGTAGCTTATGTCCTGGGAATATCTATAGGCAAGTTATCCCACTTTGTGTATATGCTTTAAGTATTTGTTAATTAAGAATATTTTAAAACAGGTAATACATTCTTATAGTTCAGAAATCAATACAAGAAGGCATTCAGTGAAAAAAAATTCTCAGTTCATTCCTGTCCTCAACTGCTCCAGTTACCCTACTCTATAACCAGGTATTTTTCTTCTTTTCCTGTCTCTCTTCCTAGAATTTCTTAATGCAGATATAAAAAAAATGAGTAAATATTTTTTCCTTACCACAAAAGATAACACTGTTCAACACTACATAGATTCTTGAGTTTCTTTTCAGAGTGCCACATGATTCTTTTTTTTTCCCTGATCTATTGAAGACTGTATATAATTAAATTGAATCCAATTTAAGTGAATAATTTGATGAGTTCTGACAGTCATATACCTGTTAAAGTTCTATCATAGTTAAAATGCAGAATGTTTCTGCATGATTTTTCTTTCATTGCTTCATAGCATTTCATTGTATGGATATATCATAGTTTTGTTTGTTTGTTTTTTTGGTACTGGAGATTAAACCCCGGGGAGCTTTTCCACTGAGTTATATAACCAGTCCTTTTTATTTTTTATCTTAAGGCAAGATCTTGCTAAATTGCTAAGGGTCTTGCGAAGTTGCTGAGGCTGACCTGGAACTTGTGATCCTCCTGCCTCAGCCTCCCAGTTGCCAGGTTTACAGGTGTGTGCCACTGTGCCCAGCTATATTATAGTTTTTAAAACTGTATATTAACTGATGAACACTGGGTGCTGATACAAGTTTGCATTTAATAACATTTGCAGCATTTTATATGTAGGCAAATAAATCTAAGGATGGGTTCCGAAATGTGAGATAGCTGAGCTAAAGAGAAAATACATTTGCAATTTGGTAGATGTTGCCATTATGCCCTTCAAAAGAGTATCAATTTGACCTCTGTAGGGGAGAAAAAATAATTTTCCCTCTACCCTATTAAGGTCTTGGTTGGGATATTTTTAACAAAAGATTTTAAAGAAAAGCAAGTCTATTAACTTATATATTTCTCATGTACATAGGAGACAACTCAGGGAAAGAGTAACTCTCAAAGAAGTTGCTTAAAACTCAGCTTATGTAGCGTCTTTAATAAAGAACATAAATTTTAGAGATGACAAGAAAAAAGAAAAAGACCTTGAGTCTGTAGGGGTTGCAAATTGTAAGAAGATAGATATATATGGAGCTAATGATAGATAAAGTCTAGTTAGTAGGCAACTTTGTTACATGGATTCTTCTGATATGCCATCTCCAGGCTGATAAGGGTCTAGAGTTGTTTTGGGGAGGAAATTCATTCTTACAGAAAGAAGAAGGCATACCTTTGTAAACTCAAGTCCTTCCTATAGGCACATAGCAGGAGAGCAGAGAACTTTTTGTTTGTATTTGCTGCTTCTTAGTTGTCTTCAGCCCAAAATAATTCTTATACCAAAGTGGTGTGTTTGCAGTTGACATATTTTGTTACCCTCAGTTGCCCAATAGCAATCTATGACAGTGCCTATTTCCTCACAGTTTAGCTAAGAAAACACATTATTAAACCTTGTATTTTTGCCAGCGAGGTAGAAAATGGTATTTACTATAACTTTAACTTGTAGTTTTCTTATTAAGAATGAAATGGAATTTATATCAATTTGTATGTTTGTATGTTATGTTATTTGTATGTTAAAGGATGGGCCATTTATAATATTTAGTTTTCTTTAAAGTATCTGTACACTTTATTTTTCTGTTGGACTTAAGGTTATCTTCTCTTAATTCTAGGAGCATTTTATATATTCAGGAATTACTTCTTTCTTTATAGATACTATCCCCCGCCCCCCATTATCATTTGCCTTTGTCTTTGCAGTAACTTTAGTTAAAGGGTGTGTATCTAAATTTTTTAGCTGCTTGGAATATTTTCCTAAATATTGCTTAGCTTTGATTACTTTTCTTCCTCCTTCCTTTCATTTCTTCCTATTTTTCTCTTACTTTCCCTCCTAACCTAATTTCTTAAAGAAGGATTTGAGACAGCTTTTAGATTATTTGTTGTTGAGTAATAATCAACTCATTGGGTAAATGTTGTTAAATGATTTTAATATATATGATCCTGGTTCATCTTTTTTGAAGGCCATGTTTTTGGTATATTCCGCATTGGAGAAAGAACCTGTGCCAATGGCCTTGCCTCCAGCCTTGGTGCCACCTTCTAAGAGAAAAACGGTCAGTATATCAGGCTCTATGTGGTTGATCCCCTCTTCAGCATCAGCCGAGGAATCTTACCACTCCTTACCACCTGTAGGCATTTTACCTACCAAAGCACCATTAAGACAGGTATAGATTTATCAGTGTTAAAGGATTTTTCTTTTAGCAAAGTGCATGTCATTTAACAGTTGAATTACTTTATAAAGTTAGAGAAAACTGATAAAGGGATCGAAGACTTAGAGCTGCCTTTGTTGAACTTACATAATGAGACGTTCCAGAGGAGACATATTCTTTTGTATTGCCGTAACTCATATGTAAAGCTCAGTGTTTCATTGTCTTTACTTATATCTGCCTGGAATTGGAGATGGTAGATGCTACATGCTAACATGGCATGCTTGTCATGGCATAATTAATATTTGGTTTTGCTTGATCTTCAGTTAACTCTTGATTCTTTGGGATCTGATTATCCAATTCTAGTTTGTCCATGACCTTTTTCTCCCTCTGACCTGCCTCTTGTCAGGTTGAGTAAAGCAAAGTGGTGACAGGATCTGCAAATTGGCCAGTTTGGCTATAGTTAATAATACTGGATGGAGCTATAGAAAATGAAGGTTGAGAATCATATGAATATTTTATTTCCCAGTTACTTGTGTTAATGTGGGATTTCCTGGTCAAGAGTTAACTATGCTTGAATTTACTCATTACTTAAAAGAAAAAAAAAAGTTAAAATGGGCATCTATATGTATATAGTCCCAACTGATCTGGCCCAACTGATCTGTATTTTTAAAATTTTCTCTTCACCACAGCATTTTGGTTACTATATGATGGAAGTGATACACTGTTGTGGTTAGTGGGATAGACTTGTTCAGAATATGATATATACTGTCAGGGGTTGAAAGAGTGACATTTCAAAGTTTGTTTCATTTTGGCAGAAATACTGTTTTTCCCCCCTCTTTAGTGGGTTGTATCCCCTGCAGAAAAAGCTAAGTATGATGAAATCTTCCTGAAAACTGATAAAGATATGGATGGATTTGTATCAGGATTGGAGGTCCGTGAAATTTTCCTGAAAACGGGCTTACCATCTACCTTACTGGCCCATATTTGGTAAGACTTTATTTTATTTAAAGGGATTTTTAAAAAAATATATATGGTTTTGTGTGGGGTCTAGTTTTGTGCACTCTTAACTTTAGTCATTTTTGCAAGCAGGATAGTTTTTGTTTCCGAATTTTTTCTAGAGAAAATTTTAAATCTGAAGAGTTCTTCTGAGTAATTGACAAAAGCTTGAGTATAGGTTTCTTGAAATTTTATAAGATTGAAAGTGTCAATTGTTATTAGAATGTTAAAATTCACCATTTGTTTATCTTAAACTTAAAATTTTAATGGAGATTCAAAATATGTGAAATATAAGCAATCTAAGAAACAGTGTCTTTAAGGCTTACTTGTATAATTCTATAGGTTATATGTATACTTTCACACTTCATTTAACACATTCGATCATTTAAAAATACAGATCCTTTTCTGGGTGTGGTGGTACATGCTTGAAATCCCAGCTACTCACAAGGCTAAGGCAGGAAGATCACAAGTTCAAGGCCAACCTGGGCAACTAAGCAAGACTCTATCTCAAGAAAAAAAATGGGGCCAGGGGATGGCACTTGGGAGGTAGCTGAGTACTAGAGCATTTGCTTAGCTTGTGTAAGGTCATGGGTTCAATGCCCAGTACCCCGATTACTCTCACATGAGACACAATTCAGTGTATTTATTTTTCTTCTTTTATTTGTTTTTTTTCCAACTCAGTGTTTTAAATGAATTTATCATTAAATGTGATATTGTATATGAGCATGCTTTGAAGTGTGCCTCCTACCAATCCAGCTATTACCAGAAGTAATTTTGAGGTTTTCAAGAGGTAGCAGATATCAGAAGTGAAACAAAATAGTTACAAAGAGAAAACTTAGAAAAGAACAGAGCAGGGTGGTAGATCTGCCTTAAAAGGGACAAGTACCCCAAACTGGGAAAAATTAAACATGCATAACTAACTTTTTGAGTGCCTACATTAGGCATAATACTCAATAAATAGCAGCTGTCACAGTTGGGATTGGCATTTTGTGCAGACTTTTAATGTATCTAATCTTTAATTCTCATAGTAACCTTTCAGGATGGGTATTATCTCCATTTTATAGATAAGGAAACTAAAGCTTAGAGAGGTTAAAAAGCTTGGTTCAGGTCACAAGAAGGAAATAAATAGAAATGCTGGAATTTTAAGTCTGTTTGATACTGTGACCTGTAGTCTTTTTATCAGGCTACGCTGGCTCTCAAATAATTAAACAGATCGGGACTATTTATTTATTAAGCTAAGTCTTAATAAATGAATGAGTCAAAGAAAGAAAATAAGATGAAACATTGTGTTTCTCTTCAAGTGATTTTGTAAAGCTTTCCAGATTGCTGCCTTCTCCTCAAATGTAATCTCCATTTGCAGCTGTTCTTTCTGCTTTGGCTTAGAGATCTTTGTGTCTTCCTATTCCAAGAATTTCAGGAAGCAAGCTGACATGGAAATTTTCCTTGTTTTGGATTTGTTAAAGTGCCATTAATGAACTAAATTTTCTGAGACTTAGGTTTCATTTTTAACATCTTTTAAAGTTAAAAATTTGAGGAGTTGGGAATGTTGGGATTCTTTGGCCCACCATAACATTTACTCTGTAGTGGTTCTGGGAAATAATGAGAAAGCACAAAGTAAACCAAATTAGTGAGGCCTCTGCTGAGCACTAGGGTGAACATTCTCTTTTTACAATCTTATCTGTCTCTTCTGGCATTTGAGTGAATTTTAGACAAGCTGCAAGTTGGTGTTACTGTCTTTTAAAAAATTCAACTAATTGTTTTTAAAAAAGTACATAGTTGGATTATTCTTTTTCCTTTTTTTTTTTTCTTTTGGTATCGGGTATTGAACTCAGGAGTACTTGACCACTGAGCCACATTCCCAGCCCTATTTTGTATTTTATTTAGAGACATGGTCTCACTGAGTTGCTTAGCGCCTCACTTTTGCTGGGACTGGCTTTGAACTTTTGATCCTCCTGCCTCAGCCTTCTGAACTGCTGGAATTACAGGCATGCACCATCACATCAGCTGTCCTTGAGTTTGAGGATGGTAGTTGTTGCGCTTATATACTGTTCTTTTTTGTTTGTTTGTACAGGGCATTATGTGACACAAAGAACTGTGGGAAACTTTCAAAGGATCAGTTTGCCTTGGCTTTCTACTTAATCAATCAAAAGTTAGTAAAGGGCATTGATCCTCCTCACATTCTTAATCCTGAGATGATTCCACCATCAGACAGGACCAGTTTGCAAAAGGTAAGACAACTTAAAAGAAAATCCGAATGCATTAATAGAAAGGAACAAGTGTCCTGTCAAATTATAGACTTGGTTTGAATGGAATAGGAGAAATATGTATCTGGCTAGTAGCATAGTACTACATAGTTTGTAGTTTAATTGGTGCCTATAAAGATGTTCATGTGTGTCTTATATAACATCCTTAGTCTGTATCTTGTTTACCCAACTATTCATTACATATATGACAACTATATTTTCCAATCTTAAATTGGAAGAACTCAGTCTTATTTTTCCCTTCATGGATTTGTGAATTAATTTTTATGAATAAAGTATGAAAACTAAATGAAGGCTATTAAATTATTGTGTTCCATTTTATGGTTCACTCTTAAAGGAAACAATACAAATTTAGAAAAAAATTATAGGAGATAATAATCGTTTGGTGTCAATTTTATAATCAAAAAGCCCTCAAGAAAACATTATGTTGAGTATACATCTGTGTGTGACTTGCCATAGATGACCCTTCATTCCTGAGTTTGCATATCTGAGCAGTTAAAAGCAAGTTTTAGTTATTTTGGGTTTTTGGCCAGTAGTGGGAATTTCCAAAACTTCATTATTTCAACCATATTGTGCCTTATTTTTCTCACATTATCTAGAAATTCTTCCTGCATAGTGCATTTATGATTTTTTGGCTTGTAATAGACCTTTAAAGGTACTTGCATACGGGCTGTAGCTGTAGCTCATTGGTAGAGCGCCCGCCTTGCACGTGTGAGGCACTGGGTTCGATCTTCAGCAACACATAAAAATTAAATAAAGACATTGTGTCCAACTACAACTAAAATAAAAAAAAAAAAAAAGATACTTGCATACTGTAAAGTCTGTTTGCCTTTAAAAATAAATGTGTAGCGAAATGTATCTGTAGTCCTAGCCCATGGGATGATCTCTTGAGCTCAGGTGTTCGAGGCCAGCCTGAGCAACATAGCAAGACTTTTTCTCAAACAAAGTAAACAAAAAACAAAAACTATATTTAAATATGGCCTGTAAAATAATCATTGGTGTGGTAATTTTTTCAGGATTGTTTAAAATAGGAGCTGTCAAATGTGTGCTATGTATAAGGAGGTTCTCTTTCAAATATCAATATAAAATGAGTGAAAGGACGATCAGTTGAGTAAGGAAGGAGAATGGCGGGGAAGAAGAAAGGGAGGGCAAATGGCAAAGGTGGGCAGGGGTAGTAGGTGGTGACGTGACAGAAATTAAAATTCACTTCTATGCATATGATTTTATTGAGTTTAACCCAACAATTATGCATCTCTATAATGCTGTAATTTAAAAAGTAAATATAATGTTTTGGTTTTGCATTAATTTTGTAACAAGGGTTTAAAAAATCCCATTTTAACCTAATAAAAGTCAACATTGGATTTTTTTTCCCCTAAGTAAACTAAATGAAATTTACTGCCACTGGATATAGAGAGCTACTTATAGAGTATTTTTTTTTTTTAAGATTGGTGTGATTTTTTTTTTTATACCTGTATTTTATTTATTTATTTTTACGTGGTGTTGAGGATCGAACCCAGTACACATGCTAGGTGGGTGCTGTACCGCTAAGCCCCAGCCCCAGCCCCTTGTTCTTGTTTTTAATAAAATAAAAATTTTATTATCTGTTTTGTGAGGGTCTTTTTTGATGGGGGTTGGTAGTACTTTGCGAATTTTTAAAAATTGCTTTTGTTAAAGATAATATTACTGAATTTGTATTTATGTCTTGTGCTATGTAACTGTATTTCAGTTATAGAATACTGTGTTGGCTTATTCTCTCACACATTTAGATTTTTTTCCATGCCTCCTTTATATTATAACTACTAATAAGACTTTCACCAACACAAAATTATGACAGATTTCTGAAGCAAATTGTTCACTGAAGTCTCTGTAATGTTAGTAGATATTTGAAGTTGCATCCGGGTATACACAGTTTTTAATTTAGTAGGTTTATCTGAAGTCTGTTCACTAGAACATAGAATACTTTTTGTCAGTTTTGTGTTGGATATCAGCATTCATCGAAATGGGATTTTATCACTGTTGACTTATCTATTAACCAAAAATTTAATACTAAAATAAAATTTGCATTCATTTTATCTTTCAGATCATCTCTTTTATCTGTATAATCGATTTTTTAAAATACGGCTTTTTTTTTTTTTTTTTTTTGGGCAGCTTTGACTAATCCTTTTGAATGTTGCTTTCCTTTCTGTGTTTTTTCTAGTTTGGACTATTTTTTCCATTCTGCAGCACTCTGCTTTTCGCCTTTCTTGTACTGTCAGTTTCTTAACTCTACTCTCCCTCAAGGTTAGAGCTTTATTTTATGCCTTTTTTGTAGCCTTACAGGTTTTGGTTTACACTATACATTTTGAAATTAGAAGTTTTTTATGAGCAAAGTTGATTCAGAGAAAATAACCTAAACAGTATGCTTTTGTTATATATCACTTGGTCCTTGTGTATTTTAGCTTGCCTTCCCTGGGCTCTCTGATCCACTTAAAATCATCAATGTGGAATTTTTGTGTAATGCACAAAACAGGGTGAGAGAAAATATGTTGAAAGGTTTACTAATTACATTTTTCTTCAGATACCTTCCAAATGTTGTATATAATAATAGCTGAACTTTTTTCTTGCTTCCTGGTTTTGTGCCATTCTAGTCATCTAAGATATTACCTTCAAACCAATTTGTCTCATTCTGTCTTCTTAATTAATGATATTTTATTAGGAAAGATGGTCAAAAATGAGTCACTTGTAAATTAAAGTGACAGAAGAGGTGTGGAAGTCATGTGTTTTTGGATGTGCTTGCACCTCTGATAGCAAATTTCTCAGTAGCATTTATGTGTAGAAGTTACTCTTGGCGATGAAAATGAGACCAAGTGCTATTTTTTTCATTTTATTTACTTGTTTGGCTGTCTTGTGTGGCTTAGCTAACTGGACAAGTTTAAACAGTTATAATTCTAGGGAATAACTGTCACATTCAGAAATCTACTTTAATACTTCTAATTTAATATGGCATTAATAAGGGTTTTGTGTATCAGTGGAGTACAGTAAAACAGTATATTTGATATGAATCTAAAATATAAAATTGAAAATATCATTATTTTTCATAGATGAATTTTCATATTGATAGTCAAAACAGCTCAGTGCTAAAAATGCAATATGGCATTAAAAAAACAGAAGGAATTATTTGCCAATTTTGTGGATCATCAAGTTTACTTTTAACATGTACTTAATGATCTTGACATGCAAGTGCCAAGGGGCATAGTGTAAAATGGCACTTGAATTTAATCAGAAGACTCTTGATTTAGCTGTTAGCTAAATTTGTGCAGCCATTGAATCTGTTTCCTTAGCTATATAATGGGGTTAATAATAATATCTGCCCTACCTCCTTCCCTAACAACCCACTTTTTATATTAGTTTTGAGAATTGACCAATGGATTTGACAGTGCTTATGAATTATAAGTGACCATATAAATGTGAAGTATAGGATATTGTTGTGCAAGTTGATGACATAAGTTCATAAGAATGTAATTTTTAATTCTACTGAGTTTTATATTTTACTAATACGGTCATCAATATATGTAACATTTTAGAAATGTGATTATTTTGTTATTTGTCATTCTCGTTGTAGCACTGGGTATAAGTGTTTAAAGGAATAGTTATTTTTTGCTCTGACTTCAACCAGCCATATAGAACCTCATTTATAGTTTACAAAGGAGATATATTTCATTTAATTTGTTAAATGGCCAGGGCAGAGATTATTTCCCTATCTTACAGGTGAAGATCATGCAGCTAGTAAAATAGTAGAGTTGTGAATAAACTCAGCTGAATTTTCTAAGTGCAGGTATCATTTAGGGACCAATTTTTGTACCTTCTTATTGAAAGAAAACCATATATAAAGGATGTCATGTATAAAGACAGTCTTTTATGTGGTGATACTAATACTTACTATAGAAAATATACCTGAGCAGTTTGTTTTTACTTGAAACAGACACTGAATGTATTTAACCAAAGTAAAATATTTATTGAACTAAGTCAACCATTATAATTCTGAGATTCAACAAAAAATTGCATACTTATTCTGTGTCAAATGATACAATTACAAACAAATCCTCCATTGATTTCCCTAAGAAATTTATACTTTGGTGGAGGAATTAGTTTATAAATCTGGTATTTGTTTTACTGCAAAATTCTGAACAGGCTAGAATCAAGTCACAAAAACTTTTGGATGTGAGGTGAGGATACATTTTATAGAATAACAGCTTTTTAAGGATTTAAGGGAACTTATATTACTATATAATTATACCAGATATGATTTTATTAAATGAATTAAAAGTATTAATAATGCAGTAAAATATGTAATACCTTGTATCTGTGTATAGTTTTTAGCATTTTCAGTGCTTGGCCTTATCTAACTTTATAGTAATGCGTAATTGTGAACTTTTTTTTTCAGAACATCATAGGATCAAGTCCTGTTGCAGATTTCTCTGCTATTAAGGAGCTAGATACGCTTAACAATGAAATAGTTGACCTGCAGAGGTATGTAAATTAAAATTACAGGTGACTTCATATACACATCTACATAGAATATATATGTATGGTGTATATGTGTGTACATGCAACACACCCTTCTGTTTCTGATACATAGTTTGGTAAATACTACCTTGTTCATCTTTACCATAATTCTATCTAAATGGAATCTTTATGCCTTATTTCATTAAATATAAGGCAACCTTTATTTGCAGGATGTGGTTTGTATCTACATGAGTTTCAATGACCTTAGTATCGTCTCTTTGAACAACAAACATGACTTGACATCCTGTACACTTAGTCTGTGCAACTTTTGGAATCTCATTACTTAGTTTGAGTTAATTTACTTTATACAAATCTGACCAAATTCTCAACTTTTTGAAAATTAGCCTTTGTTTTGTTACACAAAGCCTCTAAGCTGGACTCTGTAGCATACACCTGAAATTCCAGCAACTTGGGAGGCTGAGGCAGAAAGATTGTGAGTTAGAAGCCAACCTTAGCCATTTAGTGAGATTCTTAGCAACTTAGATCCTGTCATAAAATAGTTCAGTGGTTAAGTATCCCTGGGTTCATTCCATAGGAAAACAAAACAGAAGCAAAAAAACAAAAACAAAATACCTCTAATAAACAAAAACAATGAAAAAAACCTCCTTGGTGATCATATAGTCCACTTTCTTTCTTACTCATGGGGGGATGGGGGAAATCCAATGTCACATATCAAATTACAGATGATGCTTGTATCAGATTGAAAAGTTCAGCATTCTTTCTTTTATATAATTTTGCCTCTTATTAAGATTTAAACATTTTCAACTTTGGTTTGAAATAAGAAAAATAAGCATTTGGTTACCAAATTTGTAATGATGTTTGGGCTTCTTATTTTCAGATAGTCCTTAAATAATTTTGCTTGGTTTGTTTATGTGAGACACATTTTATAGTGGCTATATTTGAATATGTTTGTCTTTCTGTACCTATCAAGCCTGTGAAAATAGGCATATACCCCAGTGTTTTAGGATTTGCTTTCTTGACTTCCACAGTAGTTCTTTAATATATGAAATACTTTTAAAAAATATTTTTTCTTTTTTTAGTCATCCATGGACCTTTATTTTATTTATTTATATGTGATGCTGGGAATAGAACCCAGTGCCTCATACATGCTAGGCAAGTGCTTTACCACTGAGCTACAACCCCAGCCCAGTATAAAATACTCTTATAGTGAGTTTCAATATTAATTAGAGTGTCATTATAAAATGCCCTTGCCTAAACCACCGATTGTAATGTGTGTTATATTTTGGTCAATTAAGCTTTCAGTAACTTTTAGTAACCATAATGTTCAGGGGTACCAATGTCAGTCTTTGTAGTGAATAAAAAATAACAATTTAAAAACATTGTATTTGGGCTGGGGATGTGGCTCAAGCGGTAGCGTGCTTGCCTGGCTTGCACGCGGCGCTGGGTTCAATCCTCAGCACCACATACAAATAAAGATGTTGTGTCTGCCGAAAACTAAAAAATAAATATTAAAAAATTCTCTCTCTCTCTCTCTCTCAAAAAACAAACAAAAAACCATTGTATCTAACATTTTCTAACTGTGTTATGAAAGTTAAGAGTTTTAAAACTTTGTTAGTTTTTAGGTTATAGTCACATTTTATAAATGTTGTGATATATTAATACATGATTTGATATTCATGAAAATATTTTCTCTAGGCTTTTATTTTAGGTGAGATTTATAGGGTAGACAAACTTTCATGATCTGTCAAAGCCAGTAATGTCATAATGAATTAGTAAAATTATACTTGTTAAAATTCACTTTTGTAAAAGTGGTTTTATTTGATCACTAAGTAGTTAGCGTATCCCATTAAAAACCTTGACTTTCATTATTGTGAATAACATTTTTTTTTCTGGACAAAATTCTTCCTTTTTATGCATTTTTATTTTGTGGTACTGGGACTAAACCTGGGGCGCTGGGACTGAACCTGGGGTGCCCTTCCACTTTCTAGATTCCCCAGTCTAATTTTACTTTTTTTAATTTTTAATTTTAATTTTTACATTTTGAGATGGGGTCTTGCTAAATTGCTGAGATTGACCTCGAACTTGCAGCTTCCTGAGTTGCTGGGATTCCTGGTATGCAATACCACACTCAGCTGTCTTCAGCCTTTAAATCTCTTTTAGTACTATATCAGGATGTGATGTGTATGATTACAAAACAGGAAAAAAAAATTTAAACAGATTTTATTTGTGGCATTTACTAAATTGTTGTCTGGCAAAATATTAGACTCTCCTCCTTTGTTGACTTTGAGATGAAGATTTAATTTTAGTCCAGGATCAGATCTACAAATAAACAGCATACATAATATGGAAAAATTATAATGAATATATGATGAATATGGCACTTTATAATACTTTTTTCCCTTGATAGTTATAATGCATATTTATTATAAACATTTGGGAAGTGGTGAAATGAAGGTTTCATAGAATAATATTTTGTTTTCAGCATTGCATATCAATGGAAATATTGAAGACTATATATGTAACTTGGGAGTTAGTTGGGTAAAGAATATTCTTTATTAGAGCTGAGAAAGTAGCTCAGTGGCAGATTTCTTGCCTAGTACATGCAAAGCCCCAGGTTCAATCCCCAGTGCCACAACAAACAAAAGAACATTCTTTGTTGCTGGTCAGAAATGAGACATTGTGTTATCATCGTTAGTTCACCAGATTATTTGTAATAGAAAATATAAAACATTAATAGCTTTTGCTTAAAGTAGGAAAAGCAATGGTTGTAATATAATACTCTCATCAAATACCTGGATCTCTTGCTGGAGGTCAGGATATATATTTTTCATTGTCCACTAGTGTTTTCATCTGAATTTCTAGGGAGGCATGACTTTCTAATCTGCCTGACTGCTATCCTGTATTTCCCTTTCTTGGTGACATCACCATTCAACCAGTCACTCAAATTAGAAACCTGAGATTTTTTTTTCCCTCCCATTTTAAAAATTTTTTGAAATATTTCTTGAATTCCTTCCTACCTTCCCATATCCTTTCCCTAACCAGCTCCTTCTCATCCTTTAAATCTTACCTTAGAAATTATTATCTCTAGGAGGAGAGGTCTTCCTTGACTGTATTACCTCCTAAGCCTCGTACTCTTCAAATCTTATTTAAGAGCCCCTATTTACAATGGTCATAGCACATACTTACCATACTTTATTATAGTAGTCTGTTTTTTAAAAATCTCTCACTAGACTGTGTGTTTTTCAATTATAGGGATTACTTACTTTTCACTGTTATAATCCCTAGTGTTCATCTTATAGTAAATGAGAAAATAATTAAAATTTGTCTTCTCTTTCTAATTTTTTGTCTTAGTTTTAACCCTTTCCTTTTATCTGTATTACTATTATTACCTCCTGTTTGGCTCCCTGCTTTGAGCCTTTCCTTCCTTTCTTTAGACCTTTCTGCACTTACAGTTGATATATAAAATACAACCCAGATCCCTCAGTGACTCCTTCCCCAACTGGATACAGTTCACTTTCCTGAGCATGGCTTAAAGGCTTTTCCTTCATGGTATTCCCCTGGCATCCTGGCCATTCTTCTGCCTTAGCCATCTCTCATAGTACAACACCATGAAGGTTACTGAGAGCAGACTCTGTGTTTGCTCTTTCTACATCAGTGCTTAGCAGAGTAGTCTAACCCACCATTTTATATTCATCCCTTTCTCTAGCTATGGCACTATAACTATAACATGCCACCACTTTTATTCTTCTTTGCCTATGATTGTGCTTTCCTCTTTGCTTGGAACACACAACTTTTGCCTTGTAAACTTCCATTCGTTCTTCCAGGCCCAGCTTAAATGTCATCTCTTCTGTTAAACCTTCACTGAAATCTTCAGAATGTTAATTTTTCTTTTCTCTACCTCCAGAGACTTTATTCCTGTATTTTGTTACTTGCTAAGTTTCTTTTAGTAATTTATATTTCTTATTTGGGAAATTTTGAATTCCTTATCCGCAAAGTACCTGACATCATAGAATCTCAGCATAGATTAGTTGATTAGTGAATGAATGAAAGTATGTTGTAAATATCAGAATATTTCTTATCAAATAAACATAATATCAAATTTATCATTAAAAAACATTTTTAGTTGTAGATGGACACAATACCTTTATTTTGTTTATTTAGTTTTCTTATTTTTTATTTTTTAATGTATTTATTTATTTTGTGGTTGTAGATGGACAGCATTCCTTTATTTAATTTGTTTATTTTAATGTGGTGCTGAGGATTGAACCCAGTGCCTCACACTAGCTAGGCAAGCACTCTACCAATGAGCCACAACCCCAACCCAAACTTATCATTTTAAAAACTCTACAGTTCAGTAGTATTAAATGTACAACCATCACCATATCCATCTTTAAAATTCCAGAAGTGCAGTTGCTGAGTCATACGGTGGTAATTGCACAACTGTTTTTGCGTTAGGATTTCCTTTGAGAATTTGATGAAGGCTATTTGTCTATGCCCCCAGAAAAAAAGAACGTGTTTCCATCTATGCTATTTTGCATTTATTTTAGGAGTTCCTAGACCCTTAAAAACTTATCTGTGGATCCATTTTTAAGAATCCTTGCTCCAAAAGTAAAATGTGTCAGATGGGGAAGTTATTGGTGGAGAAAAATGCAAAACATTTGGGAGATTGATTAAGTCACTTGGTTAGTGTAGTGGTGGTGAATTATGCTGAGGCAGGAGTTAATATTTTGCCTTCTCTTAGTGTCTACTTCCTATCTTTGTCCTTTTAGCAAGAACATCAGGAAGTAAAAGCCACATCCTGTCTTGCCTGTTCATTATCCTGGTCTTGAGCCAATAAACAGGATAGATAATTATTATAATAGTTATTGGGTACTGTGCTGTGCCTGCTTTATATAAATTCTTCTTTTGAATTCTTACAACATTCCTGAAGAGTAAGGTTTTATCTTGTTTTTCAGATGAAGAAATATTGAAATAGGTCTATATTTCCAAGAAGCTTTCCCTGA